CAAAAAGGGCACTTTAGCACGCTGATTGATAATTCAAAAAGGGCACATCAAACATTGTCCTTTACATGTATTATGTAAACAGCAGGGATTTCAGCTAGAAGTTTGAGGGCTTTAGTCACTTTTACGTGAGATGAAAATCAACCTTATTTTGGGTAACAGTAAGGGACCAAGGACATATAATACTAGCTATACATATGCCCAAGTCCTTTAAGGACCAGGATCTCTGAAGGACTTAGGCATGCTACAAATGTAGGTAGTTATTGCATGATTTGACTGATGTGATGCTTAAGTATGAAGATTAGAAGAAGGATCCAGAAATCTAGTTCACAATTTCACTTCAGTAATTTTCATGGGACATTCCTGATCAACAAAAATTGGGTTCCTCTATTTTAAAACCAGGAATCACAGCAGAAATGAAATTGTAATGACTATTTCACTGCATAATCATTATGCCTGTAAAAAAAGTTTCAATCGATATTTGGAATTCATTTTTATAAACTTGGACACGATTAAAATGACAGTATATTCTAAATTCATCAAGAATAGATCACGTTTACTTTCGATTTTTAAACAAAATGAAAACAGGAAGTGACAAGAGGATAATAAATTTAGAATGAATCCAGATTCATCTAAGGATTGGTTCGTGTTTAACAAAAAAGCAGGAAATTATCATTTCTTAAATAAAGTTGCTCAGTAAGAAATATATTGTCTCTCTCATTTAATTTGATACTAAATGATTTCATATTTTTTGTTTTAGTGTCTATTAAATTTACAAGAATACGTTCATGCATGTGCAGTACATGATAAAGAAAGCACCTGTTTTGACTTGTGAAAATATTTCTGACTGTTTTGAATAAAGTTTTATCTTTATACTCAAAATTGTCGAAAGATTTTGATGAAAAATTATATAAAATGTGACGAAACTACGTCAAACAAGCTGCAAATAGTGATCGTTTGGGAAATTAAAATGCAAACTGTTCAGGGGAAAACAATTTTGTATAATGGACGAAACTACAAAAACATCTATGGATAAACGAACTGCAAATTGTGGTCTTTTGAGAAATATTGAAATTGAAATACCGACTGACCAATTTTACTGGGAAAGATAATCCTAATGGTCAATTATGAGGCTCATTAATTAACGGATAATTGGATTAGTGACCCATCTGATGGCGATAAGCGGATTACCTGTAATCACAACTTATAACACCTGCTGTAAATGTTACATGTAATTAGCTGAGGGTCATAAACTTGTAAGAAACATGAAGGCAGGTGGAATTATGTAGAATTTTCTTCAAAATAATACGACAATAAAGTCATAAAGTGTTTCTCGTTTCTCGTTTTATATATAGATTAGACCGTTGGTTTTCCAGTTTGAATAGTTTTACACTAGTAATTTTTGGGGCCCTTTATAGCTTGCTGTTCAGTGTCAGCCAAGGCTCCGTGTTGAAGACCGTACTTTGACCTATAATTGTTTACTTCAGAGCTCCAGATAAGCTGCGTATTTGCGTGATCACGCAATACAAATAATTAAAAACCCAATGCAATTGCCCATTGCAGGGTTCAATAACCTAATTAATTCAAAGGAAAACCCAATTATATGCCAAAACCATGAGTTCTTAATGCTTTTATTCGCTATCGTTTGCGTTATTTACCCTTATCTGATTACAGTCGTCGCGTAAATCTATTTTTATAATATTTATAATTGGAAATGTCCTTTCGTTCTTAAAATAGAGCCCTGCATCAAGTAGCTGTAATGGGTCCCTGTTGGAATTTTCCGTTGCTCAAAAGGTACACGTGTTTATGAAAACATTTCGATCTTCTCAGCGTTTATCCAATTAGCGTGTGACATGCTGTCATATTTTTTCGAATTGCTTGGGATTTATCATAACATACAATGAATTAAAACGAAAGTAAATGTCCGATTAAAATATTGAATAGAAGCATGTTTTCGGCTTCTTTTTGATAGCTGAGGGAAAGTTATGATGATAACCAGACTCAGCTAGTGATTTTAGGAAGTGTCCATTGAACGCACAGGCGTGTTTGAAGGTACGAGAACATTGCTATAGAACGATAAACACTGGGTTTCGTCAAAAACGAAATCAGTTGGAAAAAGTGAAAGGCCAAATCAATTATGACATGATATGTAGTTGGAAAGCATCGGAAACCAAAAGTTCTGATAAGGGACAACTTAACCCAGATTAATGTAAATTGAATTAAACAAAAACAGTTTATATATTATTTTTTTTCATTTTAGTTGATGAATGAATACACATATCCGTTTTTTACGTCAAATTATGCAGCTTGACACTTTCTTTGTTTTGGTCTAATTGTTCTGGATGCTTAAGATAGTTGTCTTATTGGCAAGTGCAGTATAACATTGTCATTTATTTACTTGATGTTGCAGAATTATTTGTAAATTTAAGTTGAATGTGGTCTCCATCATTAAACCACCCTATAAATTAAAATCTCAAGGTTTTGGGGTATATCTTAAATCTTGGAACTACTTTTTATTTTTATTAAAAAGTAGATCTGGCAAATAGGTGAAAGGACTGGCAAAACTTTCTTACAGCACCTAAATTTCACATATATTACATAAAAATCTAAACACTTAGCCACACCTACCCCAACTATAAACTGTAGGGTGATCATATGGGATCTAGAAAGGCAATTAGTTACTGTCCAACTAGTGACACCAGCTGCAGTTTACATAAGTTTTGAGAAAATACAAAACTGACAGAACGTTTAAAACGGGACACAAATTAAACGTACAATGTACAATTGCTCGTCAGTGAATAAACCAAAAAAACAGCTAAGCACATATACAAAGAAAGAAACACATTTAAGATGGAAACACATCTGGGGTTGATATAATGTGATTATAACATGCCTAAATATTCAATATTGTGTTGATGAAAAAACCCAATACATTAAGGAGCTTGGTGGTGAAAAACCCATTTGATATTTGCTTGAGGGGTGAATTGGAATTGATAATGCAATTAAAAAACTTTATCACCCAATTACATAAAAAAATGGTGGGTAAAAAACCCCAATTTGTGAATTCATATCTGGAGTTCTGTTTACTTTTATAAATTTTGACTTGGATGGAGAGTTGTCTCATTGGCACTCATACCACATCTTCTTATATCTATGGACTCATGAAAAAGGGCAGGGTGTCTTAAAAAGGTCACAGGGCGTCAGAAAAAGGGCACAGGTTGTCATTCGGAAAAGGGCGCGCGGACCGCCCTGTGAAAACGATCAAGCTGGAACACTGATTTCAGTTACATGTACATCGAAGACCACCAGGTTTGATAAAAATGATAAAAGAATTTCAAAATATAAATCATTGAGCATGTTGAGTCTTCCAGAATTTCAAACAAGTCTGTTCAGAATAGTAAAATTCATATTAATACACATGTTCATGTATATATAAAATGACAATCTAAAATAATTAAGTTTGATTTCTTGACACTCAATAAAGCTATCCTGTGGCTACTTGATGCTCTCAATTATATTGGTCTTCCTGATTTTTAGCTGCGTAACCGTAGCTGTTACAGGGATCTCCATGGATGAAAATGTAACGATGGAGGAACTTTCACAATGACAAAAGTCCGCGTCTACGGTGTGGCGTGAATGAAAGTATTTCATTCCTCCATTTCCATGTAAGGAATGGTGAACAGACTGATATTTATTTCATTATAGAATAACCAATAAAATGGCAATATTTTCATTGTCATTTGTAACAATTCCAATGCCAAGCATGCATGGCTCCCCCTTAGCAGCATATTATAAGACAGAGAATGACCACAAGCTGACCTTAAGGTTCCCAAGATTCCAATTTCAATTTTATGCATGAACTGCCCCACTTTGCCTGGGATCATTTAAGTGAAAACACATACCTGCCAACCTTTGAAACCTTCAAAGAGGGAGATCTCCCTCTCAGCTATGACAGCTGAGGGGGAGATTTTGCGCGAACGACATTTTCAAGCTAAATATATGACCTCTACTCTTATTCATCTACAAAACACCAACTAGAGTTAATAAATATATTTTATTTCTTTAATTCATGGATGTAATCTATACAAGGTGTTTTTTTCCTTTTCAATACCTTGGAGTCTCATATAACTCATAACATTCCATATTTTGATTTTGTTGTGAGTCTCACACTAAGCATGCTTTTGAACCATGTACAGACCACCAGAAGCAACTGAAAAGTTAATTGAACATGATGTGCACAATAAACATGCATTGTGCCGAGTGAACTTGGTCGTAAAAATTGAAATTTATCATCCAATCTGCTTGGTCCAGACAAAGACCAAAGACCTCTATCTTGTTGGAGTTGACATAGCAGAAATGATTTTCGATTACTAATAAATCAAACATAAAAACTACTGACCATTTGAGTTTTCAAATGATCGCCGATTGTTTGTTTCTTTTTATTGACAGTTAAGAAAAATCCTGAGAAATACGAACGCGGGTCATTCTGGGTTAAAATATCCGAAAGTGGGAGATTTTATACTCCCGCGCGGGAGCGGACCAGCAAGCTGGAGATTTCCGGAATTTTGTCGTTTGCGCGGGAGACTCCCGCTCAAAACGGGAGGGTTGGCAGGTATGGAAAACATGTCACAGCCATAGGACAATGTGACTTAAAGATATTTACATTCAGCTGTCAAATTTTTTAGTGAAAAGGCATCAATTGGAAGATTTAAGTGTATAATTTTGCAGACCAACAGCTCCCAACACAAAATACATGAACAATGCTGAAGGGATCATTATTTATGAAATGACTCTGGGTTTTTTTCTTTTAAATTGAAAATTCTAAAAAATGTGGACAGTAAAAATGGCACACAAAGTTGCATAGTCATTGCTTGTATTGTAATTTTCAAATGAGAAGATAATCGTATCCAGGGTACAGAAACAAAGGGAATTTATATTTGGACATAATGCTGAAAAGGCATCGTTTGAACGTTCATCATTATTGTATCTAAAAATAGTTAAACCTCTGGCAATTGTCAAAATTAAATCCACCGGTTGGTAACTCTGTGAGGGCAGCCATCATCCAATATTTCTATCTGGAATCTTTCAGCGTTTTAATCTATGCATTATAGTATTCATTAACTGGAAACCAGATCAAGCATTCGCTCGGAACTCTTCTTGAATTATTCTTAAAAACTGCAATTGTGCGGGAATTTTTCTTATTTTTCTCTGACCAAGAACTTGAAGAAGTAATGCAGAATATTTATGCAACAACGAAATCATTTGAGTTTATAATTTCGTTTGTACATTTATGCTTGTTTGTTTGAACTCTACCTGCGTTATCAAAAAACTGCAGTTACACTCTTGAGTTGTTGCAAAATATTGAAATATTGAACCAAACTATAAAGGCACTGGCTACGGTTACATGGAAATGTAACAATAATAAAATAATTATTATTACATTGGAGACTAATTGCCAGAATACAGGGTTGGGTAAGAAACCGATTAATTACGAATGTAACAATAATATTTGTGTCTACGGTTACATTGCGTTATTATTACATTAAAGAATGCCACGATAATAAAAATTTCTTAAAACTTTAACCTCTGTAGTTTTGTTGCTTAATTCTTTGATATGTACTAGATAATATTTGTAATAATGATAATAATAATAATTTATTTATATTCAACAAAATGTGTTTAAATAGTTTTAAGTATTAATTGTTTTGATGTTCTTAACATGCTTAAAGAAACTGATCCAGTTAAGTAGTGCCAGGGTCAAAGGCGAAAAATATAGTTCAATGGTTCGTTGTTAAAAACTTAGACTGAGAAAAATGTCCACTTCTAAGTATTTAACTAAACACTTCAGTACCCTTATTACTGTCATTATACTTTGAACAATGAATAAAGTGATTCCTATTACCAAATTTGTTTTGGGTGAAAAATTTAAAACTTCGGATGCGTTTAAATCGAAACATAAACAGTATCTAGACTCAAATTTTTATCTTAAAAAAAGTGCAGAATGGAATTGAACTATATGCAATACAAACGTGTAAAATGCCACATCACTGGTTTCTAATGGCTGCTTGGATCGAGTGGTTTCACCAACAATGCGTTGGACTAAAACATGCTCCAAAAACAACATACTGGATTTGTAGAAACTGTCATTGTAAATAAGAATTTCAAAAATTGTATGCAATATTGAAAATATCAAATAAAGATTTTAAAAATTGTATGCAATTAAAAGTTTTCAAATTTTATTTTAATAAATATTTCTAGTCCCATCGTACATTGCAGTATATTGATGACGATGTAACAATAACGCAATGTAACCGTAGACACAAATATTATTGTTACATTCATAATTAATCGGTTCCTTACCCAACCCTGCATTCCGGCAATTAGTTATTTTATTATTGTTACATTTCCATGTAACCGTAGCCAGTGGCAACTATAAATTTATAAAATTTTGTATCACCCGAAACTGCTACACCACTTGCACTTGTCTCTGAAAAATATACCTTTATATCTATATAACACAAGTTACCCATCCTGCTATTTGAGAAATGACACTTGGTTGCAAATTCGCTATATTTTGATTGATCTTTCTGCTACAAGGGTCACAGGCAAAGTGAGCGTGTTGCTCTAAGATTCTCGACTAAGCTCTAAAGAAGCTCCAGGGAGAAGTTTGTGTAGCCCTCGATTTTCAAAAAAATTCCCAATGTTGCCTCACAATTTTTGAAAAATTCCCAATTCAAACGCTAATGATCCTGATACTCGACAAAATAAACATGTTATCCCTGAATTCAGCTGATAGCCAGACAGGGTGCTGATTATAGAGTACTACGTTGTATAAGCAAGAAACCAGGGAAAACTCGATTTTGTGATGTTTGTATATGTTCAGCCTTACTTGTTATTGAAAATATAGAGTGCACCCTTTTATACGACTGTATAATGTTATGATGTCAGGGTCATCGTAGCCATCATCCAAAGACATTTGGTTTCCAGACAATAACATGAGTATAAGTGTATGGATCTCTGAAATTGTACCACAGAGTTCCATACCTCAAAAGGAAGGTTTGGATTGATATTGGGGGTTATGGCCCAAACCGTTTAGGGAAAAGGGGCCAAAAACAATATTTTTCTGATATTTTTATGAATTGCTTATTTCTTGACTAATTTCAATGTGGGTTAATAAACTATTTTCATATTACGGTCTTTTGACTCAGGATTATATAATTTTTTGACAGGGTGTCTAATCTGTGGAAGGACATCCTGGTACTCGGTCAGGTAAGAGCAACCAAAAGAAATAAAATCAAACATATAATCGGTACAAATGGTGGGGGGAGTTGACTGTTTGCCGATTATTTTTTCATGTATAGAAAAAACAGTGCCCCCCCACCCAATTTGTACTGATTGAAAGCTTGATTTTATTCTTTACATTGCTCTTACTAGACCGAGTTGGAGCAATGTTCTACCAAAGAGTAGGTAACCAGTCGAAAAAGTATAAACTCTGGAGTCAAAAGTTGGTAATATGAAAATGGTCTATTCAAAGTCATTAATTCTTAGGGTTCTTTAATATGCTTAATCTAACCCTGTATTTAGAAATTGGATTTTGGGCCCCGTTTTTTAATTGGTCCACATTTAGGTCCAAAGGGTCCAATTTAAACTTTGTTTAATTTCATCAAAAAATTGAATTCTTTGAAGCCCAGTTTTCAAGTTGGTCCAAATCGGGGTCCAAAGTTAAACTTTGTTTGATTTCAACAAAATTTTAATATATGGGGTTCTTTGATATGCTGAGTCTAACCATGTATTTGGATTTTGGGCCCCGTTATCGAATTGGTCCACATTGAGGTCCAAAGGATCCAAAATTAAACTTTGTTTGATTACATCAAAAATTGAATTCATGGGGTTCTTTGAAATTCTGATTCTATGTAATTACATTTTGGATATTGGACCATAATACATGTAATAGGTAAATGTCTAATTTTAATTTTTTTTAGTTCTAAGATTACATTCATTCTGTGTCAGAAACTATGCTATGTCAAATATTGAAACATAATCCAAATTCACTTTTAATTCAGAGCTCTATTGCACACTTAATATTTGTATTGCATGTATTGTATTAATGAGGAATGATATTTTGGAAATTGTTTTTTTTCTTCATTTTTTTGCTAAAATTTTTTGAGGAACTTGTTGTACTTGGATAAGCTGAATCTAAACATGTATTGATTTTGGAGATTGGACCATAATCATCATGATCATGATAATAAGTAAAAGTCCAATTTCAAATTTTTCAGTTCTTTGACCGCATTCTTTCTGTGTCAGAAACCTAAGCTGTGTCAAATATTTAATCACAATCCAAATTCAGAGCTGTATCAAGCTTGAATGTATTGTTCATACTTGTCTCTGCGGTCGTATCAAGTTGCGCCCCGTAGAGCATTTAATTCTCATTGTTGAAGGCCTCTATATAGTTGCTTATATTCATTTATTTGAACTCTTGTAAATAGTTGTCGGATCATTTTATCCCATTGGCAGTCATACCATATCTCCTTATTTTTTATATAGGGAGTGTTGATTACAATATTAATGACATATTCTGTGTTATTATTCATGTGGTCAGTTCATTCACCTGACCATGCAAAATATAAACTTAACTACCAAAAGTCTGAATCATAATAAAAAATGATTCATTGTTCATGTTTGTTTAAGAGATTTAAAAAATTCAAATTTAAATCTGTTTCAGGAAAATATTTGAAGAATTTATCATACAATAGAATTGAGAATGGAAACAGGGAATGTGTCAAAGAGACAACAACCCGACTAAAGAGCAGAAGACAGCCCAAGGCCACAAATGGGTCTTCAACGCAGCGAGAAAATCCTGCACCCTAAACCATAATGTCTACTAGTTAAGCAAAATGGATGCCACACTAAACTCCGAAACATGCAAATGAACCAAAATTTAAAAAAACACACAACACTAACAAAGTGTAGAGGATCCTGGCTTGGGACAGGCGCAAAAATATGATGGGGTTAAACATGTTTTTGTGAGATCTCAACCCTCCCCTACACCTCTAGCCAATGTGGAATAAACGAACACAATAAACACACAGCAAAACTCAGTTTAAAGATAGTCCAAGTCCGATGTTAGAATTGGTAACAGAAGAAACTTAAGCAAAATGGCAATGATCAACATAAATGAACAGTATTTATGTTGTTGCCATACACCCTACGTTAATTATTGAAACTTAGCATTGTTTGTATCAATAAAATATAAATTGTAATTCATTTCTTATTTTGTACAGGTAGACAGGTTGACCTCTGTTATATAAAAAAATGTCTATCCTCGGTGAGCATCCACAGAAAATTACAGAGAAAAGTTTGAATTACCTGTTAAGCCTTACACGACTGGACATAGAAGGTTCGTCGATGACCAGACTAGCAGCATTATCAGTCATTCAACAGTTAATGACAGTAGATCCTACTGGTGATGTGAGAATTCTTTTTTTAAGCAATGGGATTTTAGAACATATTTTAATGGAATTTGATTTTGGTTTTGAATCTGAAGAGAATTCCATTTTTCTTGAAGTTTCGTTAAATATTTTATGGAATTTATCAAAACTTGCTGTCTGTCCACTACAGCCCCTGATTACTGAGGTGGTCATTCGTAGACTTGTTTTACTCTTTGATTCAACATCTTCATTTTACTCATTCTCATCACAGTTTACGTCAACAGTGAAAAGCCTTTGTGAAAATAAACATTTAGTGGGACATGTTTCACCATGTACGTTATCAGTTAAAGTGAAGGAAGATATTGCAAAGGCTACAAATGGTATGCTCAGTACTGTTAGTAACTTTCCAACTGAGGTTCATGTCTGTTCTTTGTATGACACAAATAATCCTGACAATGAAATTAATACAACAGCACATCTTGTTTCAAACAAATTAGCATGGCCATTAAATACAAAAAGTAAACCTAATCAACAGAGAGAAGATGAATCTGAGGATGCTTGGAAGGATGTTTTAGTGACAGAAGTTATAAGTGGGCCATATTTTTGGGCTCATATTGGAATTGAAACAATTGAAAACGTGAGGAAAATTCAAAATCTATTGCTTCTGGAATATTCTTCAGGCAGACTCCATCGAGTGTCTTGTGTGAAAGGTGACTTGATAGTTGTTGCAAAGGAAACAGATGGTGAAGTATGCCTTTTCAGGGCCGAGGTGTTGTCAAGAAAGCCACAGGAAATAAGGGCATGGGCTCTGGACTATGGATTTGTTTTTGATATAGCAGCAGACAATGTGTATGGTACACCTAACGATTTAAATATGCCTCCACAGATAAAGCTTTGTTCAATTCAAGGTATGTTGCCTTAATTAAAACCTTATGATTTGTGTTTACCAACTTGTCAAACAAAAATGTATTAATTCTATATCATGTATTTTAAAGGTTGTCTTGTCAAAAAATATTTAGAAATATCTTATAAATTGTAATACATTTTTTGTGTAGGTTCATTTAAAGATGTCATTTTTATCAACTTTATATTATTTAAAAAAAAAAATTTATTGACCATGTATTAAGTAAACAGTATATAAATCACAAAGCATATATAGTGTGGTATAATTCATCCAAAGCAAAAATATATATCATTTAATTTTTTTCTTTTATTCTGATTTCAAAAAAAGGAAATAAAACAACATTTATTTATCTGTTGTAATGTAATGCACATTAGTATTTAAAGTGGAGAATTAAAAAATCTATACAATTTTTCATTGTTTTTTCATACATGTAATATAATAAATCATTGTAAATTGAAGCAATATGAGTAAGCATTGCTAAATGTGCATGTTGTAAAGTGATACATACATGTATATATATATAAAAATGATCAGTTACATTTGTATTGTGTTATTTTGAAAATTAAAGAGAATCCTACTCTCAATGGAAACAAAAATTTCAATACTTGGACTTCTTCAGTTATGTGCTTGTTTTACAGGAGGTCATGAATTTGCTTGCTTATATTTAAGTCACTGTACATGTGTACCTAATTACCCTTCTAAATTTTATTGAATTCCCATTGAAACTTTTAAAGATATGTTGATATCAAACTTCTCCATTCTTAAAAATTGCTTTTTTCTAAACTGTTACTTTTAGCATGTTTAGTCTGTTTCCATGATAAACCAGTTATAAAAGATAACTTATTTTTCTTATATTGCCGGTGACCCCCAAAAATTATTCCAATTTTATAAAATAGAGACATCAAGCTTTTCAGTATGAAAAATTTGAGCAACTTCTGTCATTTTTTTTGCTGTAAATATTCAATCAAAGAGGTTTTATGTCCATTTTCCCTATATATCCAGTGTTGAGAAATTAGCCTATTTGCACCCATTTTCAGAGGTCGAAAAATCCCTTGGATGGCCGGCCGTGACCCACAAATTTTATTGTATTTTTTTAACCATGCAACAAAGTATTAAATCCACAAAGTATAAGAAAATTCTGTCATGTTTTGCTATACCCCTGAAGTACCTTACACAATGTAAATGATAATTCATTGAATGAAATTGTTTTTATGTAGGTGTACAGGCACAGCCTAGGGACTCATTGATGGTAAAGTTGTCAGGAGCCATTTTATGTAATCTGACACAGAAAAGCATACCAGCAGGTAAAAATACTAAAAGAACTATGGAATCAAATACTATAAGAAGTGCACACAAAAAAATGGATCAGTCATATCCAGGGCTTCCAAAAAATATTTGAGCCAGCCGGACATTTTTTTTTGTCTCATCCCGATTTTAATCCCTTAAGACTTAGTAACAAAAGGCAACCATAGTAATCAGTTGGGCATCATATAAATTATGACTGACGCAAAAACAGTATTTGACTTGATTTTTAAGTCTCCCAAACAAAGTTTGGGAAGACTTATTGTTTTTGCTCAGTTCTTATTATTATTATTATTATTCTTCTTCTTCTTCTTCTTCTTCTTCTTCTTCTTCTTCTTCTTCTTCTTCCACCGCTTTTAAATTTGAACTTGTCCGCACCCGTTCTCCAAAACCGCTTGTCGGATTAACTTAGGGTTTCACAATATGTTAGACTAACATGTCTAGTGGTGCAATCAGGGTTTTGTTTTTGCAATGGGGTTTATAAAGGGGTACTTTGAGGGGCAAAAAGAAAAGAGGGTTTTACTATAGAACCCTATGGGATTTTATTTTTTAAAATTTTCAAATGATTATAAATTGAAAACCGTTCGTGATAGACACAAACCTTTTTATTGAAAATGTTCTAAATGATAAAGCCCATTAAATGAAATACAGGGTTAGTCCCCAGGGGTCACCCCCACCCCCTGCCATTTAAGAAAGTTCTAATACCTTGTAAGTGGTCAAGATCCCCACCCCTAAACCATATATACTCTGGTTTGTCATGCTAAGATGGTTTGAATGATATACAGGGTTAGTCCCCAGGGGTCATCCCCACCCCCTGTCATTTGAGAAAGTTCTAATATCTTGTAAATGGTCGAGATCCCCACTCCTAAACCATATATATTCTGGTTTGTCATGATAAAGCACATCAAATGTTATACAGGGTTAGTCCCCAGGGGTCACCCCCACCCCCTGCCATTTAAGAAAGTTCTAATATCTTCTAAGTTGTCAAGATCCCCACCCCTAAACCATATATATTCTGGTTTGTCATGCTAAGATGGTTTGAATGATACACAGGGTTATTCCCCAGGGGTCATCCGGACCCCCTGCCATTTTAGAAAGTTCTAATATCTTGTAAATGGTCGAGATCCCCACCCCTAAACCATATATATTCTGGTTTGTCATGATAAAGCACATCAAATGTTATACAGGGTAAGTCCCCAGGGGTCACCCCCACCCCCTGCCATTTAAGAAAGTTCTTATATCATCTAAGTGGTCAAGATCCCCACCCCTAAACCATATATATTCTGGTTTGTCATGCTGAGATGGTTTGAATGATATACAGGGTAAGTCCCCAGGGGTCATCCCGACCCCCTGCCATTTGAGAAAGTTCTAATATCTTGTAAATGGTCGAGATCCCCACCCCTAAACCATATATATTCTGGTTTGTCATGATAAAGCACATCAAATGTTATACAGGGTTAGTCCCCAGTGGTCACCCCCACCCCTTGCCATTTGAGAAAGTTCTAATATCTTGTAAATGGTCGAGATCCCCATCCCTAAACCATATATATTCTGGTTTGTCATGATAAAGCACATCAAATGAAATACAGGGGTAGTCCCCAGGGGTCACCCCCACCCCTTGCCATTTAAGAAAGTTCTAATATCTTCTAAGTGGTCAAGATCCCCACCCCTAAACCATATATATTCTGGTTTGTCATGCTGAGATGGTTTGAATGATATACAGGGTAAGTCCCCAGGGGTCATCCCGACCCCCTGCCATTTGAGAAAGTTCTAATATCTTGTAAAAGGTCGAGATCCCCACCCCTAAACCATATATATTCTGGTTTGTCATGATAAAGCACATCAAATGTTATACAGGGTTAGTCCCCAGCGGTCACCCCCACCCCTTGCCATTTGAGAAAGTTCTAATATCTTATAAATGGTCGAGATCCCCATCCCTAAACCATATATATTCTGGTTTGTCATGATAAAGCACATCAAATGAAATACAGGGGTAGTCCCCAGGGGTCACCCCCACCCCTTGCCATTTAAGAAAGTTCTAATATCTTCTAAGTGGTCAAGATCCCCACCCCTAAACCATATATATTCTGGTTTGTCATGCTGAGATGGTTTGAATGATATACAGGGTAAGTCCCCAGGGGTCATCCCGACCCCCTGCCATTTGAGAAAGTTCTAATATCTTGTAAATGGTCGAGATCCCCACCCCTAAACCATATATATTCTGGTTTGTCATGATAAAGCACATCAAATGTTATACAGGGTTAGTCCCCAGCGGTCACCCCCACCCCTTGCCATTTGAGAAAGTTCTAATATCTTGTAAATGGTCGAGATCCCCACCCCTAAACCATATATATTCTGGTTTGTCATGATAAAGCACATCAAATGAAATACAGGGTTAGTCTCCAGGGGTCACCCCCACCCCCTGCCATTTAAGAAAGTTCTAATATCTTCTAAGTGGTCAAGATCCCCACCCCTAAACCATATATATTCTGGTTTGTCATGCAAAGATGGTTTGAATGATAGACAGGGTTAGTCCCCAGGGGTCATCCCGACCCCCTATCATTTGAGAAAGTTCTAATATCTTGTAAATGGTCGAGATCCCCACCCCTAAACCATATATATTCCTATTTGTCATGTCTCGAACATTTGAATGACGTATACGGTCAGTCCCCAGGGGTTCCCCCCACCCCCAATGTTCTAATATCTTGTAAATGGTTGAGATCGCCACCCCTAAACCATATATATTCCTGTTCGTCATGTAATGAACATTTGAATGACGTATAGGGCCAGTCCCCAGGGGTTCCTCCCCACCCCCAATATTCTAGTATCTTGTAAATGGTTGAGATCCCCACCCCTAAACCATATATATTCTGGTTTGTCATGCCAAGATGATTTGAATGATATACAAGGTTAGTCCCCAGGCATCACTAATGCATATAACTTTACTGGACCAAACCAATTTTCAATGGATGTTGCCCAATGTCAGGCGACCCTGGGAATTACGAATTATGGGAGCTTCGTTTGGGAGACTTCGTAACAGCATCCTGTTACATTCATTTCTTGTTTTTAATATAAATTCGATGTTCTGGTGTCAACTGTTAAATTGACAGTCAGTCAGGGGTACTACTTGTACAAGTAATCTTTATTTACTTGAAGAAGTAAATAAAGTATACTTATACAAGTTAATTATATAGTTTGAATAATCTCCCCTTAATTTTCTAAAAAATTTACTTGTATAAGTAATTTTTTTTTACAATCCCACAAAAATTCTCAAGTTTTGAGATGTAAAATCATGCCTTTAATAATTTTTCTCAGGTTAGCTTATAATTTTTGATAAGAGTTCAATGTTTCATCTCATTAATTCAACAAAGAAACTGATTGAGCAAAGATCTTAGGTATTTGCACAAGGCCTTCAAAAATTGCTCCTTGGGGGCTTGTAAATGAGCAGTGTTCTAAAGATAACAGACAAATGAGATTTTCATTGTCCATGAAATTACACTTAAATGAATAGTAAAGACATCTGCAAAGGACAGACAATTAAAAATTCTGTTAGAGCAAAGAAGTTCTAAGAATTCAAGAAAAGAAGATAGGATGACTTTTTTACTTGTATAAGTAAAAAAATCTGAATGTCTAACATGTCTAAGGGACATAACTAGGCCAAAAAATAATTTACTTACACAAGTAAATAAAATACACTTGTATAAGTATCCTACAAATTTACTTATATAAGTATATTATAATTACTTCTTCAAGTAAATAAAAATTACTTGTACAAGTAGTACCCCTGACTGACAGTGCACCATTCAAAGTGTGCAACATCAGCGTTCTAATATCTGCCTAAGACTCTTTATTTGTGCAAAATTACGCTGTCAGTAACTTCACTTTCGTTTTTGAAAGTACATTTTCCTCATACCGGATGATGACTTGACAATGGTAAAACACGGACCAGAGACAGATACATAATTCCCTGTACGTTTACAAAGCATGATTGAGTTAAAGTTGCTCTTTCCGCGTTATTTCTACAGGAAAATACTCGAAATGAACGTTAGATAAAGGTAAAAAGTTTTCTGGTAATCTGAATCTTGTTGACTAAATTAATCAGATGCAAACCGCTGAAATTTAATAAAATAACTTTTAATAGACCGATCAATGTCCGGTACAAAATAGTTTACCTGTTGCCTGAACAGGTAAAATCAGCTGTCAGAGAACTAATTATACTTGATTGTAATGAGAGGGTATTAAAGTAGGGTTTGTTTTGATAGTAATTATTCAGTCAAGGTCGTAAAACACTTCCAGTAGTAGTAGTAATTATTCATCATGTCACTTTTATAACCGGAAATGTGTGGCTGTTTAAGGCAAGAGGTCAGGTCAAAAAATGAAAAGATCGCATGAACTTTAATTTTTTTCTGAACTATGTTATTAAAATGTCCGTTTCAGCCTCGACACAACAAGTCATTTATATAATTTATCGGACTTGTCCGGAAAATACGACCATTCTGGAAGCCCTGGTCATTTCTAATATTAAGGTTCTATAACAAATGTAAATGTACATGTATAATACAATGACATAAATCAGTTGGGTAAAACTAAATTAATTTTTTCTTAATGACAGGTGTGCAAAACTTGTATTCTGTTCACCAGTCAGGGGAATTACTGAAATAAGTGATTTTTAAATCACTCATTTAAGTAGGAAATTAGAAATTCTGTGATTTTGTAGTTTTACCAAAATTTTAAACACAGGGGTTTAAATTATATCTAATTAGTAGTAAAATTGAAAAAAATGGACCTTTTGCTTCTTTTAACATGTTTAATAATGCCGCTACAATGACAACAACACTTAAGTAAGCTGCATCTTTTATTCTCGACATGTTTCGCCGATGGTCCTGATGACGCCGATCTAATCGGCGAAACATGTCGACAATAAAAGATGCAGTTTACTTTAGTGTTGTTGTCATTGTAGCGGTATTTGATTTTTTTATCTGACAACCCTGCATACCATCTGGTATCCACTTAAGGGAACTCTGCCAGCACAAAACATAGGAGGCGTTGGTTCAGCAGCTCTTTATTTATATGTTTAATAATACTAAAATGCTCAAGTAGCAAGGTTTATGCCTTTGATGAAATCATTCATCTGTGAATTCTAAATTTGTTGAAAAAATGCAATAATGAAGGCTTTACATTATGATCTAATACTTTTATAACAAATTTTTCCTGTAAAATTGAGAGTATTTTTCCTGTAAAATTCAAGATTTCAGCTTTCAGTTTATGTAATATAATTTTACTGTTTGTGTTCAAAATTAAGCTGTTCGGGGGTTGTTGAAAATAGTGGGGGGTAATATAAAATAAAATAGTACTTAAAGAATTGATTTTTTGGAAGAAAATAAAGGTTTGATACTTTCATGTCATAAAAACAAACAAATATGTAAAAAAAAAAAACCAAAATGACATAAAGACAAAGCACATAAGCAAAAATGAAAGACAAGAATACAAAAAATGATCATATATTATATTGACAACAATGTGTGAACAAACCAAACAGACATAATAGGTAAAAATGTCAAAAATTGGGGTACAGCAGGCAATTTTGTGTTATAATCTTAATCACTAAAAAAAAAAAAAAATATGTCAACAAGAAAAACAAAATGGCATACAGACAAAGCACATTAGCAAAAATGAAAGACAAGAATTCAAAAAATGATCATAGCACAATAATGCAATGGTGGGATTTATAAGTAGGGAGCCACACCAAAAGAATATTACCAAAAATGGACTAAACAGTAAAGGCTAAAAATATACAGACGATCATCCACAGGTTGCTTAGTTTCTAAATTTTATCTGATATAGTTAATATAACTAGAACCTAGGAGTAAAACTCCCATTTTTTTTATCTTTTTCTCCAGTTGTATATCCTATTAGAAACATGATATATATAAATGTAAATCCCTCAAAAATATAAAAAATAAAAACAGTAACTTTTGTCTCGCCTTGACAGAGTCAAAAAACGAGACTTAGGTATGCTGTTTCCGACAGTGTCTGCTGCAGAGTTAACAATGTATTAGTTTGTGATTAGGTCAATTTATGGGGAACCATTTGTGGTAGGTCAATGATATTTGGTATGCAGTTGTATTAGCATTGGCACATCTCATTTCCATGGAGATTAATTTGCTCCGCCACTTCAGTCATGGTCTATTGACTTTGAATGTTTTGCATAGTTTACATGTTAAAGTTTGTGATTAGATCAGTTTAAGAAGAACCACTAATGTTAAATCAAGGATAGTCAGTCAGGGGTACTACTTGTACAAGTAATTTTCATTTACTTGAAGAAGTAAATATTAATATACTTATATAAGTAAATTTGTAGGATACTTATACAAGTGTATTTTATTTACTTGTATAGGTAAAAAAAATTGGGCTTAGTTATGTCCCTTAGACATTCAGATTTTTTTACTTATACAAGTAAAAAAGTCATCCTATCTTCTTTTCTTGAATTCTTAAGACTTCTTTGCTCTAATCGAATTTTTAATTGTCTGTCCTTTGCAGATGTCTTTTCTAATCATTTAAGTGTAATTTCATGGACAATGAAAATCTCATTTGTCTGTTATCTTCAGAACACTACTCATTTACAAGCCCCCAAGGGGCAATTTTTGAAGGCCTTGCACAAATATTTAAGATCTTTGTGCAATCAGTTTCTTTGTTGAATTAATGAGAAGAAACATTGAACTCTAATCAAAAATTATGAGCTAACCTGAGAAAAATTGTTAAAGGCATGTTTTTACATCTCAAAACTTGAGAATTTTTGTGGGATTGTAAAAAAATTTACTTACTGTGGATTCATTTATTTTCCTGGGTACCAATTTTCGTGGATTGAGGAAAACTTGCATATTCGTGGATATTTAAATTCGTGGTTTTGGCAAAGTCTGCATACATTCCTAAAGAAAATTTGTAATTCGTTGAACATTTAAATTCGTGGTTCCCCTGTACCCACAAAATCCACGAAAATTAGTATCCAACGAATATTAATGAATCCACAGTATACAAGTAAATTTTAAAATTAAGGGGAGATTACTCAAACATTATAATTAACTTATATAAGTTTATTTTAGTTACTTCTTCAAGTAAATAAAGATTACTTGTACAAGTAGTACCCCTGACTGATAGTATTAGCATTTGCAAGTGTTCTTTTCCATGGAGATTATTTGGCCCAACTCCCTATTTGACTTTGACATTTTTACATTGTTTACAAGTTAAAGTTTGTGTTTAGGTTAGTTTTAAGGTAACCACTTATGATAAGTCAATGGTATTTGGTATGCAGTTTTTTAAGCATTGGCATTTCTAAATTTTCCATGGAGATTATTTGGTCCTGCACATAAAGTCATGGTTCATTGACTTAATTTGAATGTGTTGCATAGTTTACATGATTGAATATTGCCATTTGGATTCAATATTTGCATTATACTATCAAAATGACAAAATGGCGAGACATATTTCTGTGTTAACAGTTTATTATGTCTCCTGAAATGAATGTACAATGTAGCACACATTATACCTATGGATGCTCATCGTGAGGCATTGTAAAAAGTATAAAACAATGGAACTTTACATTTCTGAAGGCATTGAAGCTTGCATTGATAATCCATATTTTGACAGGATTTACCTGACCATGACCTAATTTTATTGCTCATTTTGTTTAAAGTTTTTTTTATGTGATGAGGTCAGAATCTTTTTTACTTAAAAAAACTATTTGTCCTTCATGTTCGTAGAATCACCATCGATTGATGAACATAAAGTTTTCTTGATAGGTCAGTTTCTCAAGTACTGTTAAGTTGTTAGAAATTTTTAACCCCCCTTTTTTTTACCTGCCAGTCAGGGGTGATATGTATACAAGTAATTTTGTTAGATGTAACTGGTACAGGTTATGATTTACTTGTGTCTCATCCATTTTGCTGATATTTAGCAAATAAAATATGTTTAAACTAAAACAGGTTAGTAATTTTGTAGGTAGAGTTTTCTCCCTTAGTTATCCAGACATTTTTTACTTAATTAAGGAAGAGGGTCCTATTTTTTTCTTTTCTTGAATTTTTCAGAGTAATAGAGTGTTTGATATTTTGTCTTTAAAAGTTGTCCTTCTATTCATTAAATTACAATTTTGGAACCATACTTTGCCACAATCATCATTGTGGTATCTTGTTTAAAAATGTGTCAAATGATTCCACCTGCCAACCAACATAGCAGACACGGCTAAAAATAGAGTGTAGGAGTTAAATGCAAGTTTTGTCCATTTACTTGAAAACTGCTATAGATAGTGAACACATTCAGAATGTTGAGATCTGCCAACTTTCCATTTATCTAAGATCTGTCAGACTCCTTCTTTTAATAGTTATTGCCCATAACTGATGAATTTTACGAATTTTGTTCATTTTTTTTACCATTATTTTGAAATATTAAATCGATAGATAGAAAATTTGAAAAGTTAAGATTTTTTGTAATATTAATTTCTCTCTTATAATGAGTAATAGGATAACTATATTTGGTATGTGCGTACCTTGCAAGATCCTCATGTCTGTCAGACAGTTTTCACTTGACCTCGACCTCATTTCATGGATCAGTGAACAAGGTTAAGTTTTCGTGGTCAAGTCCATATCTCAGATATATGACATAAAATTTTGGGAGAAGCTTATGTGGAGATTATTCAAACCTCAAAGAGAAATTTAAATCTGACAAGTTTACTTACATGTACATATCAAGTAAATAGTACTTACATCTTCAAGTATATAGAAATGACTAGTATAAGTATTACGCTGACTGCCTTGTTCGCCCATACAGTAATCATAAAAATAAAAACTATAGAAAAATGACAAGGTTTTCTGTGTAATAGTTACATTTTGAGATGAAAAGTTTAAATTGATTTTAAGAAACTTGAAAAAGTACTTTTTCATAACCAGTGCAAGCAATCTTTTGCAGCATACATGTAGTGCCACTTTAATTTTTACAAAATTATTGATAACTGGTAGGTGGTATGAATGACATTGTAGTTTTGTTTATATCTGGTTACAGGTGATATTATATTGAAACTCGATGGTTTTGAGACATTACAGAAGTTTATAGAAATAAGCCCAGATCAGGACACCAATAAAGAGGTTCTCAAATTGATCACAAATTTGTCATTTGGTGAAAGGAAGAGGAAGAAATGGCTAGATACTGATATAATTCCAGTTTTACTTGGCAAGTTATTTATATTGTAACAAATGATATTACTATTGAAGTATTTATATATGTATTGGGTGTCTGTCTGTCCGTCTATCCTGACCAATTTCTTTTAAGCCAAAGTATGAATTTCATTGAAACGTTCACGTAATCTTTATTATATGTAATGTACTTGTGTACCGTTCCTACTCACTTATTAGTCGGAAAATTGGGAGTAAAATTCATAATCCAGAGAGGGGGACCGACTAATAGACGAGATCTAGCGACCAGAGGAAAAATCCAAGCTTGAGAAAAGTGGTCAGGAGTGAATTTCCTGGTCAAAACTACGTTTTTGATTGCCAAACCTATATAAATCAATAAATAAAAAGTTTTTGTTGAAAATAAATGACTACAATACTGTCTTTGTGTTTTATTTGTTCTTTGGTAAACATTTTCTGCAAATTCGTGTTGAAATTCTACTGTTTCCGGTTTGTGTATTGATTTTCATGGTCACATGGTTTTCCTATAAACCCAAAAGAAGAGCCAAGAACCAAAAATGAAAAGGAGATAACAATGTACCAAATATGTGAAAGGATGTTTTCAGCGGAGTTATTGTGTCATTATTGTGATATCATGATATCAATTCAATGCTTATAAATCATATAATAATCAAAAAATAATTTTAAGATTCATTCCCAAAATCAAAATATTATTCATTAAAGTGTCTCAGGTAAACAAAAATTACAAAATTGATTGACAAGCCAATATAATCCATTGATAACCCCAATTAAGAGACAAAGAGTTGTATTTACTAAAGGTGTGAAAACTATCAGTGATAGGTAAACAGATGACACTAATGAGTTGGAGTTAGTTATTTTAATATATTGATTAGCTTCACCTAATTTTTTCAATCCTTTAATCATCACAATATAATAAGAATTATGAAGTGTACATGCTCATTTAACACCAAGTTATGTATGCTGTTAAAAATATTTTCATCAAGTGTTGATTGAATTTAAATTTTTCAGGTTCATATTGGTTTATATTCGCTTTTCTCAAACAATAGGTTATTAGTCATACCCTACAAAATCATTGATGCATTATGTAAACAACACTGCATGGCTAATCTAACATTTGAACAGTGAACAAAACAAGAGAAATGAATACATCTTTATTATTAACAGCAATATAAATTATCATGATGAGCATCAACTAAATTCAAACCAAACAAACATTAATGCAGAAATGAATATTATTCCTGGATTTGCATTGGTTTTACCGGCGTTCAGTTACTGTCAGCTGAAAAAAAAATGCCCAAATTTTGTCCGACTTATACGAGGGTCAAGACTAAATCCTTAGAATTTGGAGCTGAAAAGGGCCCCCGACTTATAGTAGGATCGACTATTAGGCGAGTATCTACGGTATCTTCTATTTTACCTTTGATTAGAATGATTTGTTAGGTTTCCCATACCAAAACATGACCCTTTCATACTATAGTTGATGAATACTGTAAACCAACTTATTTTTATGGAAACTTTATTTCACGTTTAGCCCTTTTTAGCCCACTTCAGGATTTTCAAATTTATTTGATGTATTTAAATAAGGGAAAATCAAATTTTAATATATTCACATTATTGTTCTACTCTAGAAAATAAACCGCTCGCGAAAATTAGTTGGTTTACAGAATCCCTCATCTGCAACTCCTCCTAAACCATTGATTGGATATCAATCAAACTTTTGAAGATTCTACATGAAATAATGCCCTTGTGCACCTTATTTTTACTCTTTGATCAAAATGATTTATGCGATTTCCAATACAAAAACATGGCATTTGTACATGTATGCACCTGTCCTAAGGAGCCTGTTGTTCAGTGGTTGTCTTTTGTTGTTGTGGTGCATTAATGTTTCTCGTTTCTTGTTTATTATATAAATTAGACCGTTGGTTTTCATGTTTGAATTGTTTTACACTTGTCATTTTGGGGCCTTTTATAGCTTGCTGTTCTGTGTGAGCCTAGGCTCCGTGTTGAAGGCCGTACTTTGACCTATAAATGTTTAATTTTTACACATTGTGACTTGGATGGAGAGATGTCTCATTGGCACTCATACCACATCTTCTTATTTCTACTTAGTGCTTTTATATCATAGGGAGTGACGGGGTGAATATCTCCCATCTGTAACTACTCCTTAACCAGGGAATGGATTTCAATCAAACTTTCACAGATTCCCATGACATATTGTCTATGTGCACATCTAATTTTACTTTTTGATCAGGAAGATTTCTGAGGTTTAAACTTACAAAAGGCACATTCTTAAACTTTCAACAACCAACTTTGGCAACCAAAACGCACTACCTGGCACATTCTTCAACTATTAATAACCAAGTCTGCCAACTTAGACACATCAACTGGCACATTCTTCAACTCTCAACAACAAAGTTTAGAGACCAAAACACAACAACTGGAACATTCTTCAAATTTCTACAGACAAGTCTGGCAACAGAGACATACCAACTAGCACATTCATAAACTTCAACAACCAAGTCTAGCAACAGAGTCATACCAAATGTCACATTCTCTAACTTTCAATTATCAAGTCTGCCAATATAACTATACCATCTTGTTCAATCTTTAGAATTTAGCAATCAAGTGGCCCAAGAACACAGTTATTTTGTAGTGCATTTCTTTTAGACAGTAAAGGCAAATTAAAAAAATAGCACTTGCTCTATTTCAATAAGATTTTTACACTGTAGTGTACTACTTTTGGAACAAATTATATCAAAATTATTGAGAAGTTTACCAGCTCTAACTCAATATATGGAAACAAGTTTTTGTTACGAGGGTCTATCTAACTCAATATATGGAAACAAGTTTTTGTTAAGAGGGTTTATCTAACTCAATATATGGAAACAAGTTTTTGTTAAGAGGGTCTATCATGTCTATAATTTAGTTTGACAGCTTCAGACAATACTAATTTTTTACCGTTTTTAACTTGACCAAATCACTACCTTACCTTAAAATTCATGACAGAATTTTTTTTTACATATAACTTCATACCTCTACTTACTATTTTAGGCAAAATATATATTTATAAACAAATAAATTTGGAAGGTGTATGAAAAAGATTTGCCAGTTAAGTACTGTCCACACTAGGGGCTATATTTGTAGACAACTAAAATCAAAGGACGATAACTGTGTCCCAGGACCAAATGCTGCATACTGATGTATTAAAACAACATTTTTCAGCTTTTCACAACAATGTCTTGTTACCTATCAAGACCTATTAACAACACCTGTATATATTTGGGATGGTAGATGTGAAAAAAACTTGACCAGTGTCTTAAGGCTTTTTTAAGAGCCATCAATAATAAACAAAAAGAGTCATAATTGTTGTTGAATAATTTTAACCTAATAACACTTGATATATAAAAAGAATAAAGACATTTCCAAAGAACATATTTATATATAAATGTAATCAAGTTGTAAGTAATCTTTCAAATACCTTTTAGCTAATAATGTTATAATTTTGCACTTTAAGTATTTTTTTACTTCATTACTTTAGGAAAGACAATGGACCAAACCAATAAGCTGACATTGCAGAATATTTTATACTGTCTCACTAACTTGATCGTCCGATGTAATGAAGCAAGAGCCAGGTTTTATCACAGCCAAGGTATGTTGTCAAACAGTCGTAAGTTTGAATATGATGATAAACATATTGTTCCTTATCTCTATTTATTGTGTTTCCTTTGACAATTGACACAAATGCACGAATCAGCAACCTTGGGTTAATCCTTTTGTTGTTATTTCATTATCATTTCTGATTGTAAATGAAAAAGTATGTAAATCTTTTTTTTGTCTAGCCTGAAAAATAAAGGCAACAGTAGTATACCGCTGTTCAAAATACATAAATCGATTGAGAAAAAAACAAATCTGAGTTACAAACTAAAACTGAGGGAAACACATCAAATATTAGAGGAGAACTACGACACAACAGAAACACAACATTAAAATGTAACACACTGAGACAGAGCAATCCATCATTCTGTCATTGTTGGCAACATTTAGGTTCAGTCTGTTGTTAAAAGTTTTTTTAGACATCAAAAAACTTTGTCAAGCCTTCATGGAATTTTATGAAATTTGGACATAAACTTTTTTATGACCAACAGACAGTAAAAGTTGAACATGGCATTGTAACCCCTTGGATATTAATGACCCTATTAGCAATGATTGTTATTTGATGTTTTATTAATTTTGTTATATTCCTTTGATCAGATAGTCTTACTCATGTACTTGGGTAATCGAACCATACCTTGTAATTAACTAAGTTTATTATTAAAAAAAACTTTCGTTTTATTAATTAAAATATTTTCAATACTGTGTATTGCCAAATTTTTGTAAATTTTAGAATTTGCATACAAGGCTCTGTAAAACATTGGGATTTTTGTTTAAGTGAATTTCATTTGATTGCTTAATAGTATTACATTATTCAAGAATGAATACAATGTATTTGAAGACTTATACATATACTAACAAATAGGTTAAACTAAATTTATTTATTTTCTAGGTATAGATACTATTTTAACAGTCATCATTACTTCTCAAGGAAATTCCTCTGTACCTCGAGCTGCCATACATCTTCTTAAAGCTTTTGTCCAAAGATTAAATCAAGCATCAACAGAATATTTACCAACCAACTTGTCACTTCGAACAGCAAAAAATTCAAACCATAAATCGTGAGTTCAGACTTTGTTATTTTTTATTTGAAATTTTAAATTGGCAAAAAGAAGCTTCATTTAGATTTTAAGGATTTATTTTTGTTTTTCCAGAATTCTGAACTTTTACTTGCATATAAACAACTTCCAAAAAAAATGTCACAAAAAGTTTATTTCAGCCAATCTTAAAAAACTTGTTTTAATATAATTGATGAAAGTTGTATCTTGTGTTGCTTTTCTCCATTTATTGCAAAGTAGATAACACTTTATGACTAGTTTAGGACAGACATATCATGGTTTCATAATTACTTTTTGGTTAAAGATTGCATGAAATGCAATCAAAACCTTATGGTACTGACTTGATATCTATATCTTCCAAGGTTTATCACTACCTTTGATGTTCAAACAAAATAGTGCAGTGAAGTGATCATTATTTAGATCCTATCCAGTCTATGTCATGTAATTTATTGATGATATGTTGTTATTTGATATTTAATTTACAATATGATGTGTATTTGAATTACAATACTTGTCAAGAAAACATTTTTTTTATAAAATATTACTTTAATGCATGGTGTATGAATCTGTTATAAAAATAGGTTCATCTACAAATGTACAATCATGAACAAAGGATGTTAACTGAACTCAAATTTTAAAATTTATAGTAAAATACAATTCAGTGTTTTATTTAAAAATTCACAAAATTTTAAAATGAATGCAATCTTTACCCTTCAGTGCTCACAAGCACTTTGATTTACTTATCCTATTCAGACGCCAGTGGGACATAAAACCACAATGCTCTCATAATGCATATAATCTATTTTGGAATCTCAATTCTCATTCATAATTGAAAGAATATATATTTGAATATCATACCATAATAAACGTCTTACAACAGCTCAGGACAGTCTAATCTTTAACATCATACAATATATACCTATAAGGAAATATCTCTTTACTCAAAAGTAGTCTGTTTGAATTTCAGAAAATTGTAAATGCACACACCCACACAAAAACATGTTTTAATACTTATTACATGAAATAATTCTAAACCTACACAGCTACTTTTGCATAGGTACTATTTCTGTACTGAAAATCTGTAGTACTGGAAATTTACTTTTAATATTTAGTACTATTTCTTTACTTTAAAATTATTGTAATATTAAGGTACCTTTATTTCACAGTACTTGATTTGTACTACAAATTTTAATACTACAAATTTTCGGTACAGAAATTATACCAACAGTGATCACAATATTTCATGTTTGAGAATTTTAAGAGATCGATCTGAAATAGACAAACTTTCAAAATGCTAAAACGGTATTACCAAAATCTGTAGTACCTTAATTTCAAGTACAAATCAAGTACTGTAAAAGATAGGTACCTAAATACTACAATAATTTTAAAGTAACAAAATAGTACTTACTACTAAAATTAGATTTCCAGTACTACAGATTTTTGGTACAGAAAAAGTACCTTAGCAAAAGTAGCTGTGTATACATAAAGTAACATTTAATATATTTATACACAATGATTCTGTCAATAGATTAAATCTTCTAAGAATCTTTGTTCAAATTATTTTAATAATTGACAGAGAGATCGACAAACTAATTCAAGAAATGTCTGATGTAAGATTGAAGAGAGGAGAAATACAATATACCATTCCAGAAGACAGACTTAGTCATGTAAGTATACACTTTTCCATCATTTATCCATCTAGAAATCATACATTTATATAAGCATACACTTTGTCACATTGGTAAATACTTATTAGAATAAGGAGTGTGAAACAATTTAAACTAGATAACCTATGGCCTGAATTATGATAAAATAAAAAAAAAAAAAAATATGAGACAGCAATCAAGGACTGCCACTGAATTACTGGCACCTAACTTAGGTTTAGGCGAATAAAGAATGTGGCACGGTTAAACATGTTTGTGAGAGCTATTGTGTTGCTGATTTCATTTCAAAGTTAGTCATGTACTATGTCTATGTTATAATACATTAGACGTGATTTAACACAATTCTTATTAGATAAAAGCGTTAGTCATGTAAGTTCACACTTATTCAATTTCAATCCAGAATATAGGCTTAGTTACATTTTATGACGCCCACTTTTGCAGTGCCAATTTTTTATGTTAAATGCTTACTTTTTAAGAACTTGTTAATTACTGTCTCATCGAAGTCTCTTTTGTCTCTTATATACTATCTGATAGATAAATTTAAAGAAAGGTATAAGATACCAAGGGAACAATCAAAACTATAATTTGAAGAAAAATATTACATTGGTATTTTGAATGATAATTGTTCAATATAATTATATATATCATGTATATTAAGCTACATTGTGAATTTTCTCCTTATTTTTGAAGGTTTACAGTGCATTCTACACAATGTGGATCTTTGGTACACAATGATTGTACTTTTAGTTCTACATTTTAGGCACTCAACTCATTTCGCATTGAACATTTGAGGGGGATTCAATATCATTTTTCCTACTACTTATTTTATAAAGGAGGATGGCAAATATTATTTTTTTAAAGAATTTTTCACAAGATGATCAGGAGGAAATGCGATCTAAATCAGCTGATATTGGACAGCACCCTCCAACTAAACAGCAGTTTCTTGATATGATAGAAGGTAGACAAAATTCAGGTTAGTGCCATTTGTTTTACCATCTTCAATAACGAAAAATTGCAATATCCCTAGTTTTACTAGTTTAGCCTGACAAAAATGATGCATCTTCTACGGTCAAACCTCTGTTAGTTCAAATTGAAGTCACTTGAGGTTTAGAGTTACACCATTTCCCTGTGGTAAGAGCTATATTAAGTAGGATTTATGAGTGATTTACATCTTAACTGTGTACCTTATACTGTCAATCTGGTATGGTAGATTCTTTGTTGTAAAAATGTTTTTATCTCAATTTATCTGCATTAATTTTTCAGTATTGAACTACATATAATAGCTTAGAACTTTGCAGATAACATTACATACAGTCTGACGTTATTTTCTAGACATCAATTACTTTGTTAACCTTCATGGAATGTAAGAAACTTGATCAATAGTTTTCTCATGATCAAGAAATATCATATGAAGAAAAAAGTTTGAATTTTTATTTTTTGTTGTATTTTAGTGATAAAAAAATTTAGTTTTTTGACAGCCAACATAACACTGACAGCAGCAATTGCAGGGGAGACACAAGATTCCATGGAACCCTTTACAAACAGTTCAGAATTGCTTTTGTACATACAAATAGAATAATGTCATTTTTTTTTTTTTTTTTGATACTGACTTTATCAGCAAGAATATCCAGATGGAAATATACAAATTTGCCGATAAAGCAGTTTAAGAGTAGTAAATTTATTATAGAAGAATGTTTTTTTTTTTTGTTCTGTTTCAGATTTAGATCCTGTACCAATCAATGCTTGTGCAAAGAGCTTTGACAACAAGAAATATTTTATAAAAGGTAAACATTGGTATCATCATTAATTTTCAAAACTATTAGATATTTGCAATTATGAAAATCTAGAGGTTTTATGCCTGGCAGTACTGTTAAGATTAATCAGAGGATTTTTTAAGCCCCTGCCATAGGCATCGGGGACATTAAGTGTTACCTTTGACTGTCCTTCCCTCCGTCTTTCCTTCCTTCTGTCTGTCCATCCCATTTTCGTTTCCTCACTCTAACAAGTATTTCTCATCCAAATTTATGAAACTCCTACACAATGCTAAGAACAAAAACAAGCAGACAGAGTTTGAATTTGGGCAGTGAGTCACTTTATACCGTTCTAGAGTTATGCCCCTTTTTAACTTAGAAAATTGCAACGCTTGAGTGGGGGCATTCGTGTCCTCAGACACATTCTTCTATTATGTGTAGGATAGAAAAAATTTAGGATATTCCTTCTTGGAAGTCCTTTTTCAGTTCATAATATAGATTGATGGAAAATGAAGTTGTAGATAGCAATATGATCAATTTTGTGTCTCAAACTCCTCCTAAACCCCTGAGTACAATTTATTGAATTTTTTTTACAATATTAACCACATAATGCTATTGTGCACCTCTTTGTTTTTAATCCGAATAATTTTCCCATTTTCCTTCAGCAATTTCAGTTACAAACTACAGTACTTATGCAATAATATCCTGTTCTCCTCCTCTTCCCCTAATCAGAGTTTGATGAAATGTTTTTTTTTGAATTTTCACCATATAATGAAAAAGTTCACTTAATATTTGGAGTTACCCTAACCAAAACTAGAAATTTGCAAGGGTTGGTGGTATGATTTTGTGAGCTTTGCTCATAGCACCTCTAGATATTATTTTAATTTTCAATGGAGCACAGACCTATAGATTTTAAAGCAAAAGATTCAACAGATATAAGTTATTATGTTAAAGTTTTAACATTTGCATGTTACCTTATTTACAGTAAATTTAGTGTTAAAACTTGAGGATACTATAAATAGATAAATAGGTGTAGTAAGGCTTCTCTCATTAGGATTGGTTGATATATATTATTCAACACTTATACCCACAAATTATACTGAGAGTCATAAAATTCACTCCCTCTGTGGTCTTGTGGTAGCTTACTGGACTAATGTGCAGAAGATTGTTGGTTTAATCCCCAGCCTGTTCAAACACAATACTTAAAATGATTAATATTTGAAGCTTCTTCACCAGGAATATGACATATAGGACTTATAGCAAAAACTGGTTGGCTCAGAGTCAGAAAAATAAGTCTGAGTAGAGAGATACATCTTCCTACAGACTGTTGCCTAATGAACTAGCAGATTTAAAATATGACTCATCCTTTCTGTATAGTACAAAGCAGGGATAGGCTGTTACTTTACTAAATTTTATTGTTTCACATTTTTCATGTCGGGCCTTTTATATCCTTCTATACAGTATGGGTTTTTCTCATTGTAGAAGGCCGTACAGTTGCCTATAATTGCTTACATCCACTTCATTTGAACTTTTGTGGATAGTTGTCTCATTGGCAATCATACCACATCCCCTTAATATTATATATAACATGTTGTCCTAAATATGCATGAAATATTTACTGCTGGATTTTAAGCATCCATTAATCTATCATAAAAGTTCTTTCATTTTACAGACCAAACAGTTGACATCCAGACAGATTCACTGCACGAGTTGAGACCAAATAAGACTTTGTCTACTGTATCTGCCTCATTAATAGCCACTCATGTCTGTGGAATGCTTAACAATCGTAAGTTCATTTTATAAGTCAAAATAATCCAGCAAAGATACCAAAATTGTATGCAAGGTGATATTTATACTAAGAAGATAGGAAAAAATGTTATCCTATCTTAAAACTTGTTATACAGGTTTGGTAAATTATGATACCATATTAAAGTTGGACTGCAGTTAATAATTTACAAGGATAACTGTATATAGACAAGGTCGTATTCCTCAATAACTAATAGGTCAATACAATATAGTATATGGATTTGTTAGAGAGTATACATCTGTCTTACACATGATGTCTTATTTAACCTCATTTCTAGACCTCAGTCTCAGATGAAGTTTTCTGAAGTTAATTGTGTCCTTAATATCTCATAAAGTCAACACCTGAATATTTGGTGTTTCTATGGTTGTGTTTGCTGTTTTTAGCCATATCCTTTAGAAGTGTCACTCATGTAATTATCTGTTGAAACTTTTCTGTTTCACATGGTCCAAAAAGCTTTGAAAGAATAAAACAGTGAACTCAATATGCTTTTGCAAATAAATTATGTTTTGTTGTCCATAGAAAGGAGTATCTAATGCAAGGACAACATTTGTATTTAAAACCGTGTTCTGTTTACTTCAGCACACATGTTTTTCTTACAAATCAGGTAATTCAAGTATTTCAGTATTATTGATATTTATTCTTGTTCATTAATATTAAGCTGCCTCTTGCATGTAGATGTAAATTTAAAAATGGAAGTTGAAGATCACTACAATAAACAAGTATAAAAAAAATTATGAGTGGCTTAAGCCTTTCCACCTGTCAGAAATGAAAATTAAATTTGACCATGGTGATTTTCATAATATTTCAGGCAAAGGTGGTGAGATTATTTTTGGATTATCCACAATATCAAAGGCAGAAGGATTAAAGGCATCTAGGGATGATCGAGATGAGTTTAGACTTGGTGTAGATAGAATGATGACTAATAAATTATCTCCCCCTGCCCTGCATTATTTGTTTGACATGGAGTACCATCAGGTTGTAAAAGAGAAGGAAGATACAGGACAATTAATACCAATACAAGATTTGTACATTATTGGTAAGTATGGCTGAAGTGTTGAAGGAATATAAAGTAAAATATGCATAACTAAAATGTACTAATGTCTCAACTTGTGAATTTAAAGCAATTATGAAAAAATAGGTATTGATTTCATCCTATGCACAGATTTTTGGCTTCGAACAAATTTAGAACTCGTAGAAGAATACAAAAATTATGCATAGTTGGATAAATCTGGAAATTGATAACTACAAAATTTACCCCTTTCATGTTGAACAAAGATTTCTTATTCTTAAATGATTTTCAATCCATTATTTATTGACATCATTATTACAACCTACCTTGAAATTTTTTTTTTCTTCATACAATTAATAAATTGGTATATTACTTTACTTATTTATGTTCATGATGTTAGCAGATATTGAACTTGCACATTTAATCTTGACCTCACAACTTTTTATACTGGTGTTCTTTACCATTACTGTTGTTTAAGCCTTCAAAAGCAAAATGGGGTGATGGGTATTATGAACTTGGACAAATTCTGACCAAAATTGTGAAGTTAGCAGCCATATTTGCACATTAATAACCTATAGAAAAAATGTGCTTAAGCCCATAATATACTGTTAAAACATCAATTTTTGTTGGGTTAAAATTTTGTGGGTTTTGTTTCGCTTGTAACGAAAGTTGTAAAATTTTTGTCACAGAATGTAAGACATAGGGATTGCAATCTGGCGGCATCTGGAATTTGTAAGTCTTTTTTTAATCAAGAAATAACTTGTTTCAGTAATCAGGATAAAGCCATCAAAAGGTATTTTATATACAATGAGGAAAGACGATAATAGTTATATCAGATTTGGTTCTACTACCTCGCCATTATCTATTCAGGTAAGTAAAGACAGGACTCAGAATTGGTAAATGCCAACTTATCATTTTTATATTGTCCATAAATTAATTCTTCTTGTCTGTGATGACTTACTTAGGAAAGATTTCTTTTTCTTTTTCTTTTCCTGCATTATGCTGTATGTATCTTAGTCCTCAATGCCTTATGCTAAGTTTTCTAAATAGGCCCATTTTAGAATCAGTACTTACAATTATGAGAGACCTTACATATTTGTATTTAGTAGTATTGTCATTTGTACATCATAATATCATGCATTATATGAGGCTCTGTCTCCTCAGGGTCTTATGATAGACTAATGATATATGTATGAAGCTATTCATGTTTGTAAATTTTTATCTGTTTAAGGGGAACCACTCATGGTAAGAAAATGATATTTGATATGCAGTTGTATTAGCATTGGCATGTCATTTCCTTGGAGATAATTTGACCCCACCTCCTCAGTCATGGTCCATTGACCTGCATTTTTGTTTGTTTGTATTTTACATCATTAAGTTTGGGCATTTAAAGGATGAGGTTCACTTTGGGAGAATATGACCTTCAGAATTTCTACTTTATCATAAATTTCAAATAGGCCATACTTTGATTTTTCAATGGATCTATTAATCCTAAGTAAAACAGATATCTTCATGGTAGTATATTATAGGCTGCAAAGTCAATAGAGTTTGGAGATGTTGTTGAAAAACGAAAGATTGTGAGCATTTTCAGATCTTAAAACTTTCAAGAGAACCTTTGCTGCAATTAACTATCAAAAATGTTCTGTAAACATAGGTGCCAAGGTTATATTGAATCCCTCAAAAAAGTATTTTCCTGATCATACAGGGGTTGCAGCCAAAGTTTATATATACTTATAACTGTAATAAATCTTTGATGAAAAATTGAACCAATAGTGACGTTATAAAATGAGTTCTTCATAATTAAAGGGCTATATCTTTGTAATTATACCCCACGCAACGAGTTGCGCAGGGTATAATGTTTTTGACCCGTCCGTCAGTCCTGTTTCTTGTCATCACAACTCCTCTCAAACCACACAACAGAATTTCACGAAACCTTTTTAGATAATAAGGACATACTATGTAGTTGTGCATATCAACAGGAAATTACGATTCAATTCTTTCTCTAGGAGTTACGCCCCTTTGAACTTATTTACTTTAATGTACTACTGCAACAGTTTGTCATCGCAACTCCTCTCAAACCACACAACAGAATTTCATGAAACCTTTTCAGATAATAAGGACATACTACGTATATGTGCATATCGACAGGAAATTATGATTCAATTTTTTTTCCAGGAGTTACGCCCCTTTGAACTTATTTGCCCAATATACTACTGCAACCTTTTGTCATCGCAACTCCTCTCAAACCACACAACAGAATTTCATGAAACCTTTTCAGATAATAAGGACATACTACGTAGATGTGCATATCGACAGGAAATTACGATTCAATTTTTTTCCAGGAGTTACGCTCCTTTGAACTTATTTGCCCAATATACTACTGCAACCTTTTGTCATCGCAACTCCTCTCAAACCACACAACAGAATTTCATGAAACTGTGTAGATAATAAGGACATACTATGTAGATGTGCATATTGACAGGAAATTATGATTCAATTTTTTTTTTCTGATACAATTTTTTTTTTCTTACACTTATTTTATTTCTCCAATGACAATGTGGGGACGTGGGGTATGTGAGTGCGCTGACTAATGTTCTTTTATTTTATAATGTGTTATGCCTAAAAGAAGTTTTTTTTGTCTTGCCTGCGAAGTAAGTCGCTGAAAGCGAGACAAAGATGTTGTTTTCCCGGCGTCATTGTCATCAGCATCAACAATTGTTAAGTTTTCTGCTTAAGGCAGTTTGATAGGAACTACTTGTGATAGATCAATGATATTTTCTATAAAGATGCATTATTATCAGTACATATCAGTTCGATGACTATTTTGAGGTCCTGCCCCTATAGGTCATGGTCTAGTGACTCAATTAATTACCTATTTTAAATGTTAAGTTTTCTGCTTAAGCTAGTTTGATAGGAACTACTTATGATAGACAATGATTTTTTCTATAAAGTTGCATTACTATCACTACATCTCAGTTTGTCAACCATTTCGAGGCCCTGCCCTTTAGGTCATGGTCAAGCAACTTTGAATTAATTAGCAATGTTGCTGTCCATCAGATTGTTTTTTTTTTGAAATTTTTCTGTCGACAGGTGAGACATGTTTCTGTGTCAACAGTTTATATTATTATTATTGATCATGGTATACCACAACTATTTATATGTAAAATGTGTAGTATGTAGCCAGATTAAAAAAAAAGACAATTGTAACCATTTAAGAACCTAATCCTTTCAACATTTGTATTACCCCTTAAAAATAACATGAAACATATCTCTGTCAGCAGTTTAATTAAAAAGAACATTGATACAGCTTTGATAATTTGTTTGCTGTTGCATTTACATCCATAGAATTAGGGACTCCACTCTCTTGGGTATGCTTTGACTTGAATTTTTAAATAGTCCAAATTAGTTGTGTTCATAAAAAAGTATTTATTGTAGACAAATCTGTTATACTATTACATAACTTTTCATGCTTGACAGCACAGGTAGTGTTGGAAATCACCTGGAAAATAATAATAAGTGTTCAGTCTTAATTTTTGGATGCCTTCTACCAATTCAATTTTGGAGCATTATTGGAATGTTTATTTATGAAGTTTACTTAAATATTTTTTTTGTTAGGTGCACATTTAGGTTTAACTGGCTCAATTTTCATATACAGCAATTACTTGGATTGAACCCATGTTTTTTTCATGAGCAACTATCTTAAAATAAATGAGAATATTATATTATACACTAAAAGGGATTTTCACTGCATATTTTCCTGGGTTGGAAAGTGGCCATTGTTTATGATTGACCGAGATCTAAAAGAGCAATACAAGCTCTTGAAAGCTTTTAGTTTATTTTAAAAAATCAGATAAAGCCAGTGAATTTATATATTCTTGTAACATTTCTAATTAACTTTGACTAAGTTTTATTGGGAATTTTAAAAATATTATATATTCTACCTCATTCAAAAGTCAGAAAATTGTCTGTAGAATTTATAGAATTTTGTATTTATTTTACACTGCAAGTTCTAACTAGCTAGAGGCTCTCAAGAGCCTGTGTCGCTCACCTGATTCTACTTTGGTTTTGGAAATCATGTGAAAATAGATTAAAATCATAACAGATACCCTAATAATGAGTGAGGCCAAATTTGGTTTAATATTGGTCCTGTAATTTGATAAAAAATTCTGGTGGCCATCTTGAACAGTAAATCGGCAACAAAGTAGCAACACTTCATCAGCACCTCATAAGAAACATTTATGCCATGTTTTGGTTTCATTCCATTCAGTGCACCTCTAGAAGAAGCATTTGTATGTATTTCCCATAGGGTCTTATGTTAAAGGAAATCCCCCCCATTGGCGGTCATCATGGATGAAGGATCAGCTTCAAAGTAACAAAACTTAGTCAGCACCTCATAAGGAACATTCATGCCATGTTTGGTTTCAATCCATTCAGTATGTGGTTCTCTAAAAGAAGACATTTGTATGTATTGTCCATAGGGTCCTTTGTTAAACATTGTCCCCATCTGGCGGCCATCGTGGATGAAGGATAAGCTTCAAAGTAACAACACTTGGTCAGCACCTCAAAAGGAACATGCATGCCATGTTTGGTTTCATTCCATTCAATGGTTCTCTAAAAGAAAACATTTGTATGTATTTCTCATAGGGTCCTATGTTAAACTAAGTCCTCCGCTGGCGGCCATCTTAGATTATGGATCGGCTTCATAGTAACAACACTTGGTCAGCACCTCATAAGGAACATTCATGCCATGTTTGGTTTCATTGCATTTAGTGGTTCTCTAAAAGAAGACATTTGTATGTATTTCCAATAGGGTCCTATGTTAAACTAATTCCCCCACTGGCGGCCATCTTGGATGATGGAACAGCTTCAAAGTAACAACACTTGGTCAGCACCTCATAAGGAACATTCATGTCATGTTTGGTTTCATTCCACTCAGTGGTTCTCTAAAAGAAGACATTTGTATGTATTTCCCATAGGGTCCTATGTTAAACTAAGTCCCCTGCTAGCGGCCATCTTGGATTATGGATCGGCTTCAAAGTAACAACAATCGGTCAGCACCTCATAAGAAACATTCATGCCATGTTTGGTTTCATTCCATTCAGTGGTTCTCTAAAAGAAGACATTTGTATGTATTTCCCATAGGGTCCAATGTTAAACTAAGTCCCCTGCTGGCGGCCATCTTGGATTATGGATCGGCTTCAAAGTAACAACACTGGGTCAGCACCTCATAAGGAACATTAATGCCATGTTTGGTTTCATTCCATTCAGTGGTTCTCTAAAAGAAGACATTTGTATGTATTTCTCATAGGGTCCCATGTTAAATAAAGTCCCCTGCTGGCAGCCATCTTGGATTATGGATCGGCTTCAAAGTAACAACACTTGGTCAGCACCTCAAAAGAAACATTCATGCCATGTTTGGTTTCATTCCATTCAGTGGTTCTCTAAAAGAAGACATTTGTATGTATTTCCCATAGGGTCCCATGTTAAACTAAGTCCCCCGCTGGCGGCCATCTTGGATTATGGATCGGCTTCAAAGTAACAACACTGGGTCAACACCTCATAAGGAACATTCATGCCATGTTTGGTTTCATTCCATTCAGTGGTTCTCTAAAAGAAGACATTTGTATGTATTTCCCGTAGGGTCTTATGTTAAACTAAGTCCCCCGCTGGCGGCCATCTTGGATGATGGATCCACTACAAAGTAACAACACTCGGTCAGCACCTCATAAGAAACATTCATGCCATGTTTGGTTTCATTCCAGTCAGTGGTTCTCTAGAAGAAGTCCAAAATGTAAAAAGTTAATGACGACGACGGATGATGGAAAAGTGATGAGAAAAGCTCACTTGGCCCTTCGGGCCAGGTGAGCTAAAAAGGACTGAATGCAAATCATAAACCACTGTCTATCAAAGAACTGATAGGCTGTTGTGATCATAACTACAATGATATTGTGAATATATTAAAAATTGTTTCTTGTTTTAAGAAATTTAACAGTCTTTTGACCTATAATAAAGTTGTATTTTATTCTTTATACAGGATTTAAGAAATTTGGTAATATTAGAAGAAGAGGACAGATACAGATTACAGATCATAGAGCTACGACATAAATTGCAAGAACATTCCCTATAGCTGTATTTCAGAGCTCAGTTTCAATGACAGTGATACCACTGATCTGGATTCTTGTGAACTAAAATAACTACATGTACATGTAGTACATTGATAGGACTTCGTTATATTGTTGTTTGATTGTCCCCCATGACAAGCTATAAATGTATAACTCCTTCCTTTTTCTGAAATAAATTTTAAAAGGGTTTTAACGTAGGGGGTCTCAAATGGATGCAGAAATGTTAAATTTTTTTTTTCAGCCGATTTATGGCATGAATGTCTCACAGATAGATAAGATTTTAAAGTATATGGAACCCTTTAAAATTTAAAGAAAAAGTGTTTATTGACCTTGGACAGATAAAGTATGTGGGACATTGGAACAATTATAAAGTTTTTTTGTGACTATGGTTCCAAAAGGTTTTTTTTTCAGTATTTATAGGACCTTCAAATTATTTTGCTCTGTTTGAAATTGGACATAAACATCAGTCAGTTGTGTGCATATCTATTGATGCCAGGGATGTGATATATCCTTTGAGACTTGACTGTTCACTTACAGTGCTTATCCTAAAGTCTTTGCCCTTTCACAATACCAATTGCTAAAATGTTTTACCAAAATTGCAGTTTGAATTCCTGTCTACTATCTGATCAACTGGTAAAACAGTTTAGCTCATAGCTAGTGAAAAGTTGTAAGTATGAAGTGCAGTTTAATAAAAAACTATACTTACAATCCTGAAGAATTATATCGTAAATTGCATTGCATTTGCTCTCAAATCTTCATTTCTCTAAGATATTAATAAAAAAATTTACAGAACAAAAAAAAGTATTTATTTAATTATTGCCCTTGGACATTGGAACTCTGTTCTTTTATTGGTTCTGAAATAGTCAAATACTTGGGTACGGGAGGCAACTCTTGATATTCATCTCATTATAGATGTACGAAAACATTGATTTTAAAGAATATAACTGACTCGCGGGAACGAAAAAAAGGAAAAATTTAAGAAAATTCCCATGTTTTCACAATATTTTCCTGAACCATTTAAGCTATGTTTGAGCATGTTACTGTGTGTGTAATAAAAATTGGGAATTTTTTGTTATTACCTACAAATTAGTCAACATTGTCAAATTGTCAACAAACCCCTTATAGGAGTTATTTCCACTGAATGATAATTATGTCAAAAAACTATTATTGATAGAGAGAAACTTTAAAGGGCAAAATAAGAACTACATTTAAGTCAAAATGGCCAAATTGTCAGATTCATTAAAACATTAATTGCACAATATGCCAATTATCTCGAAATTATATATGATTCATAGTGTTTCGTAAATTATACCATAGTTTTTGTTGAAACCCCCTGTCCATAACCTCACAAGACTAAAATTTTTCAGAATAATATATTATTATTACCTTTAACACATTTTATATTACATGTATTATTTGGCCTAAAGTATATTTTTTCTCCAATTAATATATATATATTTATTTTTATCTATTTTTGATTCAGCCATGCTGGATCTATGTGATCACTCCGGATTTGGAGATGGTGCAGAATTCTTAGATGAAGAAATATCATGAAACTAATAATGTGTTTTTATGCTTGAAGAAACTTTATACACCATTTTGATTATTTATTGCCAACTTTTGACATGTTATTTGCCCTTAAATTAAAAAAAAGATTGGACTCAACCGAAAGGATTCACACAGGCGTTGGTTCACCAGACGTAGTTTAAGAAAAGATTGGTCGAACAGCTACTTTATTTTAGATATATACTTGCATATAGTCCCTTTGAAAATCAATATTTATGATAAATTACTGTTGATTAATTAATGTGAAAAAGTAATATGTATAATTTAAGCAGTTGATGAGAATTATGAAAGTATTTTATCAGTATCTTATGCTTGTGTAAGTAATTGAATAAAATTTGATACAAGAAATGTATAGATATCCAAGTTGATTTCCACACTTTTTTGAAATGCTCTTATTCCAATTCTTTTCTTAGGCAATTAAGACTACTGAAAAATATAGTATGATAAACTGTCGCTATTTACAAATAATTTCCCTCCAAGGTGGGAGTTTATATTGGAACCACCAACACTTTAATGTCCATCTTAATTGACCACATTTAATATCTCATGTATTACATAATTGAATACACAATAATATTGACCTCAAAAGTAGACCTATAATCACTTGATTTACACTACATAAAACTATTCTGTAAATTATTTCTCGATGATGAATAATTAAGGATAAAAAAGATGCATGTTTTTGCAAAGAAAAAAACCCAAAAAACCAAATATGTATGAAAAAATGAAAGCAGGGTCTATTTTACTTGTAAAATCAGTGTTATAATCATCTGATATTAGTCAATAATTTATGTGATTTATATTTAAAATTATCATTAATTAGCTTGAAACAATAAACAAAATTGCATAACTCTAACCTGGGGATTTTCTGCAATCTAATTTATTTGTTTATTACCCATTATAATATTGCTATTCAACAGTGTAAGGAATTGTACATGTATATTTGAATACAGGAAATTATTTTATTTCTATGAAGAAGGAACACCAATTTAAATAAAAATTAGTTATTTGATATTTGTTGTTGAAAAAGTGCATTTTCAATACCTGTTTTCTAAAATTATTAAAATCTTCCTTTGAAGATTTATGTAACCAGTCATGCCATAACTATTTAATTGAAAGAAAAGGAAGATATTAGAAATCATTGCCTCTTCTAAAAATTGAAATCTCTAAATAATTGGTACTAAAATTGAGAAATTCTCTATCTTTGGGCAATTTTTTTTTTAAATTAGATTATGGAAATGAAATAAAACCATTCATCTTCAGTGTGATATAATATTTATCAAAAATAAATAAATGATTCTAAGATGAGTTAGAAAAATTGCATACCTATACTTAAAAATAGAAATATTCCCAAAAGCAACCATTTCCAAGTAAATTTAGGGAGACAAGCTTGTTTTATCAACTGATAAAAACCCCATTATCTTTCTGAATTTAATGCAAGAGTTATATATCAAGGTTTTTGTTTGTTTACCACAATACCTGAGAATATTATTTGAAATTATGCACACAACTCTTCCAGTCTTTCCATCAGTGATTTCAACTACTTTGATTGTCAGAAGTACCATAGAAGAAGTACATTTTTACTGAGAATTGGGGTGATTTGAAAAAAGAAATAAGTGAAATAATAATGAAAATGAAAAATTTCTACATTCAATTCCAGTGTTGTCTAATTTTTTAGCTCACCTGGCCTGAAGGGACAGGTGAGCTTTTCTCATCACTTGGCGTACGACGTCATCCTCGTTAACTTTTTACATTTTGAACTTCTTCTAGAGAACCACTGAATGGAATGAAACCAAACATGGCTAAAAGTTCCTTATGAGGTGCTGACCAAGAGTTGTTACTTTGTAGCTGATCCATCATCCAAGATGGCTGCCATCAGGGGACTTCGTTTAACATAGGACCCTATAGACAATACATACAAATGTCTTCTTTTAGAGAACCATTGAATGGAATTAAACAAAACATGGCATGAATGTTCCTTATGAGGTGCTGACCAAGTGTTGTTACTTTGAAGCAGATCCATCATCCAAGATGGCCGCCAGCCATGGACTTCGTTTAACATAGGACCCTATATATATATGGACAATACATACAAATGTCTTCTTTCAGAGAACCATTGAATGGAATGAAACCAAACATGGCATGAATGTTCCTTATGAGGTGCTGACCAAGTGTGAATACTTTGAAGCCGATCCATCATCCAAGATGGCCGCCAGAGGGGGACTTAGTTTAACATAGGACCCTATGGGAAATACATACAAATGTCTTCTTTTAGAGAACCACTAAATGGAATGAAATAAAACATGGCATGAATGTTCCTTATGAGGTGCTGACCAAGTGTTGTAACTTTGTAGGGGATCAATCATCCAAGATGGCCGCCAGCGGGAGACTTCGTTGAACATATGACCCTATGGACAATACATACAAATGTCTTCTTTTAGAGGACCACTGAATGGAATGAAACCAAACATGGCATGAATGTTCCTTATGAGGTGCTGACCAAGTGTTGTTACTTTGAAGCCGATCCATCATCCAAGATGGCCACCAGAGCGGGTCTTATTTTAACATAGGACCCTATGGGAAATACATACAAATGTCTTCTTTTAGAGAACCACTGAATGGAATGAAACCAAAACTAGCATGAATGTTCCTTGTGAGGTGCTGACCAAGTGTTGTTACTTTGTAGCCAATCAATCATCCAAGATGGCTGCCAGCAGGGAACTTAGTTTAACAAAGGACCCTATGTGAAATACATACAAAAGTCTTCTTTTGAAGAACCACTGAATGGAATGAAACCAAACATGGCATGAATGTGTCTTATGAGGTGCTGACCAAGTGTTGTTACTTTGTAGAAATCCATCAACCAAGATGGCTGCCAACGGGGGACTTAGTGTAACAAAGGACCACAAATGTCTTCTTCTAGAAAACCACTTAATGGATTGAAACCAAACATGGTATGAATGTTTCTTATGAGGTGCGGACCAAGTGTTGTTACTTTGTAGCTGATTTGTCATCCAAGATGGCTGCCAGAAGAGGGAGTAAGTTAAACATAGGACCCTATGGGAAATACATACAAATGCTTCTTCTAGAGGAGTACTGAATGGAATGAAACCAAACATGGCATAAATGTTCCTTATGAGGTGCTGATGAAGACCTTAATACATGTTTCTTTATAGATTGAGATATACTGTAAACTGCAAAAATATCAAGAAAAGAAGATCTACACATAAGTCAACATGAGCAAAATTGTCAATTGACATCTTGTTGGAGTTATTGTCCTTATAAAGTAATTTTCTACAATTTCAATGAATTTATTGGTAATTTCTGTAAACTTTACAAAAGTCTTCTGCTTTTGATTAAATTACGGGACCAATATTAAACCAAATTTGGCCTCAATCATTATTAGGGTATCTGTTATGATTTTAATCTATTTTTACATGATTTCCAAAACCAAAGTAGAATCAGGTGAGCGACACAGGCTCCTGAGAGCCTCTAGTTTTAAACATATGATATTTGATTTCCCTTGGTTTCTTCACTTTTTAAACACAAATTAACATTTTGAGCTCAAATCACTTATCCAAAGTTGTGATGGTTGACTCTAAATGTCTTACAAGTTGTTTTAATTAAAAATGAGATCAGAAAAAGTATGGTCTGCCGGCCGTAGCTAAACAAATGGCTGAATTACAGCACCACAGCACCGACGATGCTTTAATATGTTGTTCTGGGAGCAGTTTTTTGTTCATCTTTAAATATAACAGAACAACAAAGTTGGCATAAGTGGGTTCGATTCCACCCTAGTCATTCAGTTCCTGGTGCAAAGCGGGAAGAGTGGCTACCTGTTGTTTCTCTGTCTAAAAATTCAGGCGGTCACGGATAAGTCTCCTGGGATTGCTTTTTTTTTCTTAGTTTTTTTCCCGTCAAAGTCAAGATATAACAAAACAAAATTATGATATAATTGTGAGAATTATATCATTCATAGCTACGGTAAAATTTTGGGTTATTGAGATTTATACTCTGTGGCTGCATTTCCGTAGGTTCCATTGTAAAGCTATAGGTTAATAGATAGGTATAAATTGAAACAGTAAATATGATCATCAAAACAAAAATATCACTAAATAAGATTTACAAGAGAGTCGAAATATACCAGAGGGAAAGCAAACTGACAATGACGACAAAAAACAAAAAGATCAGATAAACAACAGAATACACAACTGTACATAGAAACAAAAGACTGAGCAACACGAACCCCACCAAAAACACGGGGTGATCTCAGAAGCTCTGGAAAGGTAACCATATAATAAAAATAAGCAAACATAAATGGAGTTCAGGTAAAATTAAATATCAAAATCGCATATTTTACCAAGTGAACCTCTTTTTTTAGTTCACCTTGCCCGAAGGGCCAAGCGAGCTTTTCTCATCGCCTGGCGTTCGTCGTCGTCATTATCGATCGTTCAATTTTACAAACATCATCTTTGAAACTAATGGGCCAAACTTGACCACAATTATCATTGGACTATTTGATAAATAAAAATGTGTCTGATGACTCCACCTGCCAACAAACATGGCTGACATGGCTAAAAATAGAACATATGGGTAAAGTGCGAGTTTTGTCTACTGCTGTTAGATTTTATAGATAGATAAAATCTGACACGGCAAAATTTTTCAGAATGTTGAGATCTACCAAAACTGTCAGACCACTTCTATAGGAGTTCTTGTCCTCGAATGACGAATTTTACCATTTTTTTCCCTTTTTAGCTCACCTGGCCCGAAGGGCCAAGTGAGCTTTTCTCATCACTTGGCGTCCGGCGTCGTCCGTCGTCGGCGTTAACTTTTTACAATTTGAACTTCTTCTAGAGAACCACTGAATGGAATGAAACTAAACATGGCATGAATGTTCCTTATGAGGTGCTGACCAAGTGTTGTTACTTTGTAGCCGATCCATCATCCACGATGGCCGCCAGCGGGGGACTTAGTTTAACATAGGACCCTATGGGAAATGCATACAAATGACTTCTTTTAGAGAACCACTGAATGGAATGTAACAAAACATAGCATGAATGTTCCTTACAAGGTGCTGACCAAGTGTTGTTACTTTGTAGCTGTTCCATCATCCAAAATGGCCGCCAGTGAGGGACTTAGTTTAACATAGGACCCTATGGGAAATGCATACAAATGACTTCTTTTAGAGAACCACTGAATGGAATGAAACAAAACATAGCATGAATGTTCATTAGGAGGAGCTGACCAAGTCTTGTTACTTTGTAGCCGATCCATCATCCAAGATGGCCGCCAGCGGAGGACTTAGATTAACATAGGACCCTATGGGAAATGCATACAAATGACTTCTTTTAGAGAACCACTGAATGGAATGAAACAAAACATAGCATGAATGTTCCTTACAAGGTGCTGACCAAGTGTTGTTACTTTGTAGCTGTTCCATCATCCAAAATGTCCGCCAGTGAGGGACTTAGTTTAACATAGGACCCTATGGGAAATGCATACAAATGACTTCTTTTAGAGAACCACTGAATGGAATGAAACAAAACATAGCATGAATGTTCATTAGGAGGTGCTGACCAAGTGTTGTTACTTTGTGGCCGATCCATCATCCAAGATGGCCGCCAGCAGGGGACTTATTTTAACATAGGACCCTATGGGAAATGCATACAAATGACTTCTTTTAGAGAACCACTGAATGGAATGTAACAAAACATAGCATGAATGTTCCTTACAAGGTGCTGACCAAGTGTTGTTACTTTGTAGCTGTTCCATCATCCAAAATGGCCGCCAGTGAGGGACTAAGTTTAACATAGGACCCAATGGGAAATACATACAAATGTCTTCTTTTATAGAACCACTGAACGGAATGAAACCAAACATGGTATGAATGTTCCTTATGAGGTGCTGACCGAGTGTTGTTACTTTGAAGCCGATCCATAATCCAAGATGGCCGCCAGCGGGGGACTTAGTTTAACATAGGACCCTATGGGAAAT